AAGAAGAAACTTCAAAGGTTTCATTACATGTTGTAGCATTTCTCCCACTGGGTATACAAATTTCAGTTTTTTACATTCTTTTGGAATCAGATCTGCATTGTGGTGAACTCTAGTGAGTTAAATAAAACTTTTATATAAACTCATCATCTGTCAGATTAAGGTTAGTACTTATTGTAAGTCAACTTCTTACTTACAAAAGACACACTTCACTAATTTGAGGGTGAAGGCATCTACAAAGGTCGCATATCCTGGTGGAAGTTGGGTGAAGCCCAACTGCCTTGGTCTACTTAGCTGCTCCCTCTCAGCGGGGTGCAAGGTTCAGTGGAAGCCAATGTTGCTAAGGAAACAGCCGACCTTAGAGTCTGCAACAGGAAAATGGAATTTTATGACATCAGAAAAGGGCTTTTTTTTAGTACCGGGGATCAAACTCAGGACCTTACACTTGTGAGGCAGGCACTTAGGCCACTGAGCTATCTCCCCAGCCCCAGACGAGGTTCACAATGAGGCCTGGAGTGCCATTCTGCAAGGAGAGCTGTGAGATTCTAGGCATTCATGCCAAGGCAGGAGGAGGTCTCTCCAGTATTTTGCTTGAATACCACAAATTCCACCAATTAAATCCCATTTCTAATACTTCATATGTAAATAAAACTTCTGCTGAGTACAGGGAAGGGGGCAGAGAAGAAACTGCAGTTTGATGCTGACCTCCATTGTGCTTTGTGGCCTGACGAGGTCAGTCGGCCACCTCTGAAAGAGTGGCTTCTGATTTGGGGATCAGTTTTTGATAGGTAGTGCTTGGTTTTTAATTACTTTTGGGATTTTTTTTTTTGAGACAGTCTTGCCAAGTTGTTCAGGCTGAACTTGAACTCATGATCCTCCTGTTTTGGCCTCTTGAGGGTTGGGTTTACAGGTGTGCCCCTTGTGGTCAGCACGGCAAAGGTTTTTGCTCATATTTTGGGCCAGCACACTTGGGTAGAGCTCACCTGCTTTGATCACGGTGCGCTTGCAGCCCGGTAAATGGTCACCATTTAGTTCTCTACTGCCATTAGGTGGCTCTTTCCTGTGTCTTGGGTGCTAGCAACTGATCCCAGGGACTTGTGCTACTACTGCTTTACACCTGTCAGGTGATTTTTAAAAGTCAATTTGCCAAGTTGTTCCACTTCTCAGTGGGAAAGTTGTGCATAACAACTTGTCTTCATCATCGCAAGTGAATTCTTGGTGCGTGTTTTTGCAAGGCGGGTATTAATTAGAAAAGTATTTCAGCTCCAACTCCTACTCTGCCATTCCAACCTACGAAAAATTTACATACAATCCATTTGGCTCTTTAAACAGGAAGAATGCACTGTCAGCCATATTTCCTGACGACGTACAGACACGGAGGCGAGAACTGATGTGCTTTAACCATAAACGTAAAGCTCACGTGGTGAGGAATTGGGGTAACTGACTGTGGTGGATCACAACTGGTAGCCCACTTGTAACAACCAGTGGAACTGACAGCATCTCAGTGGGGTGCCCGTCTGAGGACTGTCACCAGTGTAAGAGACAGAACTGGAGAAGCGAGGCCATTGGGAAGCTGCTGGGAGCTGTTCGTTGTCCTGCAGGTGCTGTTGCTTCTGGAAGACCTTGTCATGCTGGCTTTCCTGATGAACCTGGCTGTTGTCTTCGTAAAAGGAGTTTGGGACCTCGTTGTCGCTAGGAATGGCAGCAGTTCGGCTGGAGGGAGCTCTAGCCCGTGCTGAGCACTGCTTCCTGGCTCCCGAAGGAGATGGATGCGCTGCTCACCTCCGGGAGAAGCTCGTCATGAGGCTTTCCTCACCTTCGCGCAGCTCAGGACCTACAGCAGCCGAGGATGCCTGTAGTACTTTTGGGGGTAGCTCTGGTTCTAATTTTGATTGCTGCTTCCTGGCTTGAGCTCAGCTCCCTTATCTTGCTAGTACAGATCCTTCATCCAACTGGGGCAGACTTTCTAGCTTCCACCACTGTCTTTTGGGCCTTCCTAGCACAAAGCATAACACAGGCCTGCACGAGACATTGTCATAGGCTCTTGGCCTCCAGCTGGATTCAAGGGAGGCACTGTTAGGAGCTCTAGGCCTTCAGCTGGACTCATGCAGGACATTACTGTGGAATCCAGGCCCTCAACTCGGTTCTTTGGGCTTTAATGTGTGGACAGATCTTCTGCACTCTGTATAGGATTCTTTGGGTGATCCATTCCAAAATAACCTTATAAAATGTGTCCTATGTTGTACTGCTGCCCTTGCAAAATCCCAAACTTGAACACTGACCTCATTCTAAAGAGTTTGACCAGGTAACTTCAGAATGCCCATCAGCTTTTTAAATCTAAACTCCTTTTAAAAATCCATATGAAGAAATACTACTCTGTTAAATTCTTTCTTTTTTTAAAAAAAATTTTATTTATGTGTGTGTGGGGGGCCAGCTCAGCCCACCAGGGGGCGGGGCTGGCTGGCATGTGGTGCTGGGGGATTGAACCGCGGTTCCTGTGCTTTGCTAAGCTTGTTCTAAGTAGGTGCTTTAGACCACTGAGCCATCTCACCAGCCCCAAATTCTTGATCTTTAGGAAGCAAACTGCCTACAAGGACTTTCCTTGGGTACTCAGGGAGGTGTTGCAGGAGGATGTGTGTGGCACTAAAGGCAGAGTCCTTCTCCACAATGCCCCTTCCTTTTTTTGAGATATCGATACCCCAAACTCAAAACCCAAACCTGTTCCACCTGCATCTTATGGCTAGCATCACCCAAGTCTTCCAGTTCTCCGTATGAAACCACTTGAGTCATTTTGCTTTTTCTCCTGAAGCCCCAACTACTTCATCAGCAATCTCCTCAGCACCTCTTCAGCATACATCCATCTCACTACTCTGGGCCCTTGTCCTAGCCACTCATTTTCTGCTTAGATGCCCTCAACAGCTCCCACTGCCCACATGGTCTGTCCTTAATGTGCTTAGGGGACTTTTGAAAACTAAGATTACCATATCTTTGTTTAAAACACTGCAACTGCTCTCAACTTCACTCAGAAAACTCAGCTCTAGAAAGCAGCCCACACGCCCAATTCCGCATAGCCTCTGGCCTCACCTCCATCTTCACCTCCCCGCAGTACACCAGCACCTGCTGCTCTCCTTTTCTGGGATGACAGGAAAGCACTGCATTTCCCCTTGCCCACAGGATGCTCTGATATGTACAGCTTTATTGACACTGCATTTTAGGTAAACATCAGTGGACCTCTCTAGATCCTCAACGCCAGGCATGGTTTCTGAATCTGTGGGTAAGGAAGAGGAGGTTCCATGGTGTAACTCTGGACTCTGAATCTGTGGGTGCATCATTCTTACCTTTGCGACTGACCTTCTGCAGGCTGCCAGCAGGTGAGTGTGCCTGGCATGGTTTGGTGTCTGCTGACCTCAAGAACCCATAGAGAGCGGTGCTACTTGTCTCACTAAATGCCAGCTAGGTTCTTCAGGTCACAAAGGACTGCAACCACGACATGCTGGCGATACCCACCATGAGCATATTCTGTGACCCAGCAATTTTATCTGTGACTGTGTTTCCCAGAAAATCACTCCTAAAGTTGTTCTGTAGGAGACTGTTTCTAGAAAAGTGTTATACAAAGTCCACATGGCTTCCAACAGAGGAATGAACATGAGTAAGCACCGACAGCAGGTAAAGTAGACTGGAACTTCATCTACGAACAGGAATCAACCTCAGAATCAAAATGGAACAGAAGACCAGTTTCCACAAGGGATCAGGATGTGAGTAAAGAGGTAAAAGAAAATGTATAAAAATGAAAATGCATCTCTACACATCCAGTGATTAGGATCTGTCCTGAAACGAGTGCACTGTCCACAGGAGCACCCATGGCTATCTGCTGAGCAGCTCAGAAGACAGCAGAAGCCTCTGGCAGGGCCCTCATTTCAGGCTCAACCAACCTATAACCAAATCCCGAGTGGTCAACAAGCATGCGGAGACAGCCTTCAGTATGTCATTATTTTGCAACATAACGGCAAATGTGTGCTGCTGTTCAGAACATCACAGCCCATCTACCTTTAAAAACAATTTTGCCAGGCATGGTGGTACTAGGGAGGCTGAGGCAGGAGGACTGCTGTGAATTTGAGGCCAGCCTGAGCTACAAAGTAAATTCAAGGCCAGCCTGAACTACATGGCAAGAGCCTGTCTCAAAGAAACAAAAACAGAATTTTTAATTTTTAACAGAGATAGAAATTTTGTGAACTGGCTTGCCAGAACACAGTTATTCGCAGCATTTCAGAGACCATTTAACCTTAAAAGTAAATGAGAATGTAAGTGTCTGGTAAAAAGTGACATTTTATCATATTAAAGGAATCAAAACCTAAATTATTGCCAAAAATTATTCTAATTATCACGATAAATTCCAAACAAAAAAGTAGTACATGATGTTTGAATTATCCAAGCTTGTCAGGAGTTATGGACTTCCCCTTACTCTCTTGGAGAGAAAATGAAGAGCAGAGTTGAATGTTCACGATCTGTCACAGACCTCAGTTCTCAGCTCTGCCAGGAAGTGGAACAACATTCTTTTTCTAACAACACTTGTCTTAATTCCATATAATGATGCTATAGAGTGATCATGTGCATTTTTTCCTTAATATTGAAAAAATTCTGTAACATACATCATATATATATGAGTGTAAGTAAAGCCTCAGAATCAAAATGGAACAGAAGACCAGTTTCCACAAGGGATCAGGATGTGAGTAAAGAGGTAAAAGAAAATGTATAAAATATATATATATATATTTTTTAAACCCCCCTGTATTTTAGGGAATGGGCTACAGAGTCTCAATACTAGATCGGACTTGTAGTGATCGGCCTGTTTACAGCCTCCCAAGAGCTGGAATTACAGGCTTATGCCACCATGCCCAGTCTCAATTGCTGTCCCAGTGCGCCCTAGGGGGTGGGGCTGGCAAGGCAGGCCTAGGGATTGAACCCTGGCCATTGTGCCTGCTTGCAGGCACTTTAATCCACTGAGCTATTTGGCCAGCCTTCATATTTTATTATTAAGTTATAGCCTGTAATATGTGGTAGAGTTCATCAAAAGATTTTCCTGAATTGGTCCTAGGAGTGTGTGGACTCTCCAGTATTTGGTAAAATCTGAAATCTGATTGAAGGCTTTTCCATTTTGAAGGCTTTACTTACACTCATTGAGCTTTTTCCAAGATAGGATCCTGATGGACCTTAAGCACTAAGCCAATGCTGTAATCATCCTGAAAGCACTAACGGGAATAGAGTTTGGCTCTAGTGTGGGGCTTCTGATAGGATTTTTTTCGTGAAGGTCTTCCTACATTTTTGCACTTAGGAGCTTTCTGGTAACATGTACTGTCTTCCAACTGAAAGTCTTCTCTCCCACGTCACTCATGTGGTGTCCTTTGGAGTCTTGGGTAGATGAACACAACTGGGCCACAGCGGCCCCTTCACGCCCATAGTGCTTTTCTCCAGGGCAGATGTTTGCCAAGGCTTACAGCCCTTTGAGGCTCTTCTCTACAGCGTGCTTGTGTCCTGACACAAGAGTTCGGGGAGAAGGCTGCCCACTGGAGACTCGACAGGTGGCTGAAGCTTGCGGCACATTCCCTACTCGCATGAGACATTTCTTCCTGTGCTGAATGGGATGTGGGTCTACACCGATGGTCTCTGCAAGGAGGACGTCTAGAGGCTCTCCTCCAGCGTGCATGTGCTGGTGTGACTTCAGGGTGGCTGGCGGGTCAGCATTTGCTTTATTGAGGAGGTGTATTTTTCAGGGGATCTCTTTCCCACCCACTTTACAGTTAGAGGCTGCTGCTTTCATTACCTCTAAAGCTGAAAACCATGAGCAGTGAACGGCAGCTTCTCCACCACAGCCCTGGGGGCCTGAGCTTCAGTGAGCTCCACTGGGTGCCTCAGGTCCTCGCAGGTGTGAGGCAGTGTCTGCTGTGCCTACGGGCAGTGCCCTGCCCCTGGGCAGACCCGTCCAGTGTGCAGCTCCTATTTGGTCTGCAGGCATCAACTTCTCAGTTGGACTTCGAGAAAATTCTGCTTTGAAACAGACTGCTTGGTTAAGGCAGGACACGTGACCTAAGAGAACAAGTGGACCATGCAGCCAGTTGGCATCTTTTTCCTGAAGGCAGAAAAACGCAGATTCAGTGTAACATACAAGAGCAGACTGAAGAAAGGCCCTAGTCAAAGCACAGCTCTTTGTGTACAAAAGCTCTAGGGAAGAATGTGTACACTTATTTTATCATTAATTTCTGCTTTTCACTATTTTCTTCCCTCTTTATTTGTAATGTTGAGAGCATTACTATTTTTTCCACCAATTGTGCTTCCTTTCCAAATATAGCATCTATATATTTTATTTATTTATTTAGTTTCTGGTACTGGGAATCAATCTCACCACCTTGCACTTGCTAGGCAGGTGCTGTGCCACTGAGCTATGTCCCTGGACCAGCATCTATACTTTTACATGAAATAATCCACCTGAACAGCCAGAAAATAAACCTGTAAGACTATGTCTCAATAAATGATAGCTATTATTAATATTAATAAAGACTACACATATTTAAATATATACTCAAGAGCTTCTGCCAAAATGTTAACAGAGAGCAGAAGATGAAAGAAAGTACCACAGCAAATTTTACTGTGTATCTAGAGAGACTTTATGGTAGCCACTGGGTGAGTTTGCACAGCAGCCTGTACCCACATGGCATGCACTTTCTGTTTTGCTTTTATCCTTTTTCTCTGTATTTGGCCCAAGTCTGCTCTGCACAGTTGGTTTATCCCATACTCACTTACCCCATACTTTTCAAATAGACATTTTGGCACCATCAAAACAAACAAACAAACAACCAAAACCAAAACCG